AATGCAGACTCCTCTTCCAGAGAAAGGTCTTTCAGAGTCAGGGAACTGTCATTCGGATGCATTGCTTATTTGTCATTTTCGTAGTCGGCCGGATTCTACCTCTTGGATCTCTCAAACTCTTCAGTCCCCCATGTGTAGAGAAGATAAAACCCTATAAACGGCGGCACCACGCGAAGGAAAGACTCCCGAGCGCGGCGCACCACGTTGGGGACTCCTTTAGAGAAGACGTGCGGGAAGGCGCGCTGCTCGAAAGGTGACAAGCTGTAGGAGATCACATGCCGCATTCGCGTCAGATTCCCAAACTCGCGGCCCATGGTGGCGGCAGCCCCAACCGCAGTCACCGATTCGGTGGACTCGTTCGTCACTTCCGGTAAGATCGGAAGCGGCTCTGGGAGGACGTGAGATCACTTCTGGGAGATACCATTTTCCTTCTGTCTCTAGGGGGGTGACGCCTTTGTCCCAGAAAGAAATGTCCTGACTGGGTGACCCGTAGGTGGGCGGTGCCTTGGAGGCCCTCCCTGGGTCCGTGGCTTGGAGCCTAGCGGAGGAAGTTGGGGGTTGAGCGGGCTTTGGGGAGCAGTGGGCAGGCGGAGGCGCTCACACTTCTCCTCAGCCGTCGGCCTTTCTGTGGAGTCCAGTCAGTAAGCGGTCGAATGCGGGAGGCGGGTGAGGGGACAATGAGGTGACAAGGAAGGGGCTTGTCGACCTCGGGGCCGCGCTGGCCAGGAGCTTGGGGCCTCCGAGTACTCCCGGCTGTAGACAGAGCGCCTCTGAGTCTCGAGGCCAGGGCACCCCGCAGCAGAGGAGCGCGGAGTTTTATTTGGTCTTGGCCAGTAGCTCAAAGGGGGCTCCGTTATGTTCAGGCCACCAGCAACCCCAACACCAAAATCAGGGACACACATCTAAGGCTTTTCTTGGTAACCTCTGTTTTAGAGTCCACTGGCAGGCTGTAAACAGTCCCAAGAGATAATACAAACGTTTCTTGAAATTCAGCCACAAAAAAATTTATTTTTCCTTCGCTTATGAAGAGTAAGACAAATGAAAATCATTATCTGTGGTCCCTTCCTTTCAGTCCTTATTTTCCCAAGGAGGTCTGCCAGCTGAAGGAGCTCTGGGACACCATTGGGATGGTGACCTCCAGCACCCATGCCTGGGAGACCACACCCTGGAGGGATATCAATGTGGAGGCCATGGACTTTGAGTGCAAACAGTTTGCCCGGCATATCCGAAACCTGGACAGGGAAGCCAGAGCCTGGGATGCATTCACAGGCCTGGAAAGCACTGTGTGGAACACACTGAGCTCCCTGAGGGCAGTAGCTGAGCTGCAGAATCCAGCCATCGGGAGCGGCACTGGAGGCAGCTGATGCAAGTCACTGGTGTGAGCTTCACTATGGACAAGGACACCACCCTAGCACGCCTCCTGCAGCTCCAGCTGCACCACTATGAGGACGAGGTCAGGGGCATTGTGGACAAAGCCGTGAAAGAGATGGGTATGGAGAAAACCTTAAAGGAGCTGCAGACCACCTGGGCTGGCATGGAATTCCAGTATGAGCCCCACCCACGGACCAACATCCCCCTCCTGCGCTCTGACGAGGACCTCATAGAGGTTCTGGAGGATAACCAGGTTCAACTTCAGAACCTAGTGATGTCCAAGTATGTTGCTTTCTTCCTGGGGGAGGTGTCGGGCTGGCAGAAGAAGCTGTCCACAGCAGNAACTGGGCTCACCCAGTTCTCCCCTTGACATGGCACTCCCTCTGTCCCTCCTGTGTGGAGACACGCATTGAAAATGACTGTCTCCAACAACCCAGGACTTTAAAGCAAGGCAAACAACATACACCAGGAACTTGTTCAAGTCTCAAAAACGCCAGTATTACCAGTCTCATATGATACAAGGATTTATTAAGTCATACATGCAAAACATAGTGCTAATTGCATTAGCAAAAGATCAATGTAAAAACACTCCACAATTCTGCAACTGTCAATTTAAAAAATGTTGTAGTGGTTGAAAGGTCCAACGTTGTATTCTTGCCAGTGAGTTAAGTTGTACAGAACATCGTCAGCACTAGCACAGTTTACAGAACCTCACAGACCCAAAGGAACATCATTAGGCAAAGCAACTACAGGAGGCGTGTGTCCGCGTGGGCGAGGTCAAGAGGGTCAGTATTGGTCAAGTGACAGTGTCGGTAATCCGGCAAGACAGTGATGTTAAGAAGGTTCATAGTTTAAGAATTATCTAAAATATTTTAAAAACTATAAAGCTGCAACACATGATTTTTACACCTAGTTACTAGAAAACTAAGGAAAGCACTTATTAGCTCTGAATAAAGTAACATGGAAAGCACTTTAACTAATCTACAAAAAAAACTAATGCATTATCAGAAAGATTTTATAATACAAGGAGGCATATTGCTCAGTAAGAAGGGGTTCTGTAAGAAAAGCACTTACTAAGTTAGCGACTAAGGGAACGACCAGTTTAAAGATGAATTAAATGCCCAATTTGGGGAGGGATGGCAGGTGCAAGAGAAAGGAAAAGCTTAAGAAAGCACTTCCTGATAATACCAGCCTTTCTTTCATCATCTACTGCATTTGACAGGAATTAGCCTTTTAGGGTTTTTACTCGTGACACTTTTATTCCTTATAAAATGTAGTGTAGCTCTCCACTTCGTATTTTGTCAAAATGCCATCTTTGTCCTTTGATCACACACACCCCACTCGGCACACCCACAACTAAACGGAATACTTCATTGGAAGAAACACGAGTTCTGTTCAAAACTTCAGCAAAAGCTGATCAACTAATTTTTAGAAAACTCACTATGAAATCAAAAAGACTGATCCGAAGAGCTGAGCTGTTTACACCCATTCCATTACAGTACAATGTTAGGTCATGAACATGGGCTGATACATCATTGGTGAGTTAAATGGCAACGCTTCATTTGGGAGGCTGTTCTGCTTTACGCATCTGGAAACTACTTAGAAAGTGTCTGCATCTCCTAACTGCAGAAGCTACGGTCTTCTGAAAGACAAAGGTCTTACACAGTTTAGTGCTCGGTGTTCTTAGCACAACAATACAGTGTAGTTCAGAAGGTATTTTGGCAACTCTTAATCTGAGCAAGAATAGGGGCTTTTGAAAAATAAGGCTTTAAGAAGGCTTGTCATTTTAGGGCTAAATTTTAATAGAATGTGAGTCTGAACTCTTACATTTAGAACAAACAAAACCTTAAAATTACTGATTGGTTCAAAATGGTTTTATGGAAAAATTAATCTGTAACAAAAAGTTGGCATTGAGTGTGAAGGCTCCACCATTTTTTGAGCAAAGCGTACAAATGTTCCAAGGGACAAAGCCAAGAAAAAGGGGCTCAGACATTTACAGCAGCAGGCATTTCCTCTTCCTCTTCTTCACGGGAGGTGGGCAGAGGACTGCCCAGATCGCTTCATCAAACACTGTCTTGAGGCCTTGCTGTGTGAGCGCCGAGCACTCCAGGTATTTTACAGCACCAATCTCCTTAGCCATGGCTAGACCCTGTGGATAGGTGATGGGAGTCAGCTTCTTCTTCAGTTTCTCGATCGTGTCTTTAGCATCCCTAAGATCAAGTTTAGTTCCCACTAGGGTGATGGGAGTGTTGGGACAGTGGTGCCGCACCTCAGGATACCACTTTGCGTGGACATTTTCAAATGATGCAGGACTCACAAGGGAAAAGCAAATTAAGAACACATCTTTTTGCGGATAGGATAGGGGGCGTAATCTATCATAATCTTCTTGTCCAGCTGTATCCCATAAGCCCAGATTCACCGGTTTTCCATCTACCATAACATTAGCAGAATAATTATCAAAGACAGTAGGGATATATTCTCCAGGAAATGCCTTGGTTGTGTGGGGCCGCTTGGGGGAGGGAGGAGGCAGCCCGGCGAGAGGCAAGCGGGGGACCCAGCCAGGCTGGGCCCCTGGGCCCCGAATCTGTACAATACGGTTTGCTATAAAACTCAAAATCTTCCAGCCGGGGAAAAACAAAACAAAACAAAACTGGTCTTCAGGTATCTCCTATAGAAATGTGCAGATTGGACCCATCCAACTGTACCTGGAGATCCAGCACAGAGCAGGTGCCAGCCACTAAGTGATCATTTAGTTGCTTTTTATTATTATCTATGTATTTTCTAGTGGGGAATTGAGATCCCGTGGGGTAATTTGCCCAAGGTCAGTTAGCAGGGAGTGGAATTCGCAGATGTGTATGTGCACATCTGTGTGACTAAAAAGTCCATCCTCTCTCCTTAGGCTATCCCATGTGTCGAGGGAGGGAAAAGCTAGAACCCCTATCTTTGAAAACTGTAATTCTGTTTGTATGTCTTATGGTCAGAAAGAGAGTAGTGGAAGGGCGATTCTACTGGCTCTTAGAAGGAACTTTGACACCAATCCTCACTACTTTCAGCTCTGAAATGAGAAAGACAGTCATGCAGGCATTACGGGTCGTGAGGATGGAATTGCACGGTTCTGTGAGTGACGCAGGGCACACAGAGTCTTTTGTTGCTTCCTTTCTGTTGATGCTGCCTATTAGTTCATCCTGCACCATTTTGTAAGCCCACACCATTCTGCAGGCCCTGGTCAAAGTGAAACATTCCATGGGGCTTCGGGCCATGAGAAACATCCTGCCCACCACCTGCTGTTTTTTTCATACCCCGCCAGGCAAAGCCCCGGCTGAGGGACATCCTCATCATATCCTGCTGGGCAAATATCCGAGGAACACCTTATTACATCCCACCCAAAACAGGGACCAACCACCTCATCATGGAACATCTCATCAACATATTCCTGGGCAGCAGGCTGTGCCCCCCACCCAGGCCTTTCATTGCCCCAGCCTATAAGCAGCAGAGGGCACTGGCAGTAACCTGGGCTCCCATCTGCAGGTCTTATGCTGGACAGAGAATCTGAATGGCTATAGAGCTGCCAATACTCTGCCTTACTTTAATCCTCGCCTTCCCTTCAAAACCTAACACTGGACAGATACTTGAAATGTGAGCCTTCTGGAAACCAAGAAGTTGCCAGGACCCTCACCCGCTCAGGTGGCTTCATCACCAGGTGCATTGGAATTCCACCTGTGAAAAGGTAACCGCAGGGCTTACTGCTTGTTCTCTGCAGTGTGCATGGTAGTTGGGCATCTTCACCACGACAGAAAGGTCGACATGAAGATGCCCCAGTTGCCTGAGGATGTCTAAGTGTGGGCACCAGAGAGGAAACGCTGTGTGCCCCTCACCTTCATTCCTTATGAAGTAGGCTCACAGGGGCAGCAGCCCAGGTTCTTAGCAAGCAACTACTAGTGATGAAGAAACGAGTCTCTATACTCAGAATCCCTTAGTAAATTACTGCATTTTATAAGTTCAAAAATAGGCCATGGTTTCCACACTGTGCAGACAGGCAGAAAGGTGACAATAAGTGTTCTCCACTTTTCTTTCACAGATGGGCAGGAGGGACAGAGGGCTCCTCTGCAGGCCCTGGGAGAGACAGTGATGAGGAGCGAACCCCCCACGAGAGCTGCTCACCTCTGGGGTTCAGCCTCTGCTACCCTCACTCCTGCTCCTTGGCACAGACATGAACTTGACTCATTTTACTTGGAATTGCAGAGAACTGGTTTAGACCAAAAGAAAATAGCTTTTTTCAGGACCTCAGTTTCTCCCAAGTCGCCCCTTATGGCAGAACACAAATGTAGTTAAATGAATTCATCCACTCCTTCCTTATATGCTACCAAGATCAGAAAGCCAATCGCCAAATCAATATCAGGCCTTAAAAGCCCACTTGTGGCTTCCTGTTGGCAAATATTTCATCAAAGCATTTGTGGCAGAAACACACTTGATCACAACGTTATCAGTGTAATGAATTGATGTGCCAGAAACACACTGGCTCTTCCTTGAGGCTAAACTTCCATGTAGAAATGGCCAGGAACTGCTCAGCAGGCAAATTGCTCCTGCAGATGTTTCAATGACTATGGCTGCTGTTTTGCTTATCCACTCTAGACAGCACTTGAACACATCCTAAAACACTGGGCCACTGAATGCAACCCAAGGGTGAGACTACCATTCTACCATACCAACTAATCCATGCATCCACCCGTCCTTTCATCCTACCCCTCATTCTGGAGAGAAAAAAAATTAAAAATAAAAAAAGCATTGTCTACTACTGTTTCTTTGCTAAGACTGCAGAAGTGCACAATTAATTCCCTACTTTAGGGAATGGAGAGGAGACAGCTGGGAAGTAAAATGCAGAGTGATATGAGCAGCAGCGGAGAAGGGCGTGGAGCGGCAGGGGGAGGAGTGAAGGATTCTTATTTCATGGGCTGCGGAGGCTTCCAGGGAGACCACCTGTTCTACGGGTGCAGGATGGGCGAGCGGGATTCCTTATCAATTATGGGCGTTGGGGGAGCATCGGTCAGAAGAACTGATGGGTTCCAAAAGGGAAGAGGTCACAAATAAGTGATTTCACTTACTGCTTTTCAGCTATTGGAATCTGCTATGCAGAAACAAACCAACTTGCACTTTTTTTTTCCCCCATTTATGTATTTTATTGCATTTTAGGTTTTGGGGTACATGTGAAGAACATGAAAGATTGTTGCATAGGTACACATGTGGCAGTGTAATTTGCTGCCTTCCTCCCCATCACCTACATCTGGCATCTTTCCCCTTGCTATCTCTCCCCAGCTCCCTACCCCCCACCGTCCCTCCCCTATTTCCCCCCCAACTGACCCCAGTGTGTAGTGCCCCCCTCCCTGTGTCCATGTGTTCTCATTGTTCAACACCTGCCTATGAGTGAGAACATGCGGTGTTTGATCTTCTGCTTTTCTGTCAGTTTGCTGAGAATGATGGTTTCCAGGTTCATCCATGTCCCTACAAAGGACATAAACTCATCGTTTTTGATGGTTGCATAATATTCCATGGTGTATATGAACTTGCACTAACTTTTAAAACATCTTAGTGCTTCCTGAGGTCTGGAGAAACGGAATGTTGCTTTTAAGAAATTTTAGATAGACTGCAAACCAAATGCTGGCCTGGCAAGAGGATGTGGGGTTGGGGGTGGGATGAGAATCCTGGGATGGGCAGGAGCAGAGTCAGGAGGGAGTTTCAGCTTGGCCCTGAAGATGCCTGAAGAGTCATCAAGAGTCACTGAAAAGTGTTTTGCAGAGCGGGGTATCACTGCTTTCTATTTTAGAGAGATAGCTGTTGCGGCACCTCATAGAGGGTGAAGGGAACAGCGCTAATAGCCAAGAATGACATCTCCAGCTCTAGGCACATAAGGAACGGTGGCCGGCAATGACACCCCAAATTCTCCACCCTCCTCTTTGATGTGTCAGGGAAAAGCCTCTTACCCATCCAAGGCCAAAACGCTTGGCTCCTGGGCGCTCTTGCTTTCTCAAGGGCCCGGTTCATTGGTCTGTTTCTGTCTGTCTCTCTCTCCTCTCTTCCTCTCCTCTTTCTCTCTCTCTTGCATCATTCATACTTGCTTTTCTATAGGAACATTTCTATCAGAAAACTAACACGCTCATTTTTCTCATCTCAAAAACACATAAAAACAAGACTTTTGCGTTGACCCCACACCTGCCTAAGGCAGGTATTCCACACAACAGATCCAGATCAAAGCCTGTCACAAGGAAGGAGGCCTGGCCCGCCTGCCGAGGAGGAGGAAGCTCGAAGCCCTTGCCCTGCCTGCGTTCTCTGTGAGGGGGTCTCCTACAGCACTGTTATCTGTGGCACAGGTGGGCTATTTCTACTTAACCCAAAGCTTCTCCTGTGACGCCTGTATTTTGCCCTAATGGTAGTTTTCTGTAATATAGCTTTATTTTTGAGTGATATTTGAGGGCAAAATAACTATAATCCCCTGAAAGTTTGAAAAATCCATGAAGAAATGGTGCAGAAAGAACACACCTCTTGAGGGTGTCCCTAACATCCCATCCCCACTCACCGCCTACCCAACAAGCCCCTTTCCTCCTTTGGAAAGTAAAACAAGCCCTCATTCAATGACATTTGTACATAAAAACTGCATTTCTTTGCCTGCAACATGCTGTTTATCACTCATCTACACCTGTTTCCAAAAGCTCCATTATTTTTTCTAGTGTGAAAATGGTTTGGGCATCTTGGGTCAGGGCCGGAGACGTCCTGATTCCCTCATTAAGTGAGAGGTAGGTGGGTAATGAAAATGCCCCCAGCACATCCCACAGCCTCTGGCCACTCTCTTCAGAGACCACCCATCTGAGCATATGCTTATACGACTTCTCTCAGACAGCCCGTGTAGACAAGAAAATTCACTCCCACCATCTCTCCGTCCGTTCTCTTCCACAATGGCCGTGTGCCACTTCCACTCCCTCCACCTTGCCTTTCTTGTCTTGAAAACATATCTTGTTTTTTGAGATGGAGTTTCATTCCTGCACAGGCTAGAGTGAAATGGCCCTATCTCGGCTCACTGCAACTTCCACCACCTGGGCTCAAATGATTCTCCTGCCTCAGCCTCCCAAGTAGCTGGGATAACAGTTGCGTGCCACCACGCCAGGCTAATTTTTGTATTTTAGTAGAGATGGGGTTTCACCATTTTGAGCAGGCTGGTCTTGAACTCCTAACCTCAGGTGATCCACCCACTTTGGCCTCCCAGAGTGCGGGGATTACAGGCATGAGCCACTGTACCCGGCCGAAAACATATCTTGGAAATCATTCTGTTCCAGTACATAAAGAGCACCTGACTTTTTACATGGCTGGGCAGTGTTCCATTGTATGGCTCTACTGTGATTTATTCCATCCAGAGAGCACTGATGGACATACACGCTGTTTCCATTCTTTTACTGTTAAATCCCACTGCTGGTCCTTGGGTCACTTCCTGTGTGTGTGAATCTGTGGGTGAACACAAATCTTGAGTACCTGGGGTGGAATCACCGAGTTTGTGCCCATGTGATGTTGAGAAAGAGCATCACATTGTTCTCGGAAGGGTTTTTCCAGTTTACTCAATCCCAGCAGTAATGAGACTGCCTGCTTCTCCAGCTCTTCATTACCAAATAGCGTTATCAAACACAACGTCGCCACGCCTTCTGATCTTTGCCAATACAAGGTTTCCAACAAATGTCAGAGAGAAGGCAAATCTACAATGAAACTGAAGGAAAAAAAAAACCCTAAGGTATCATAAAAATATAAGTGCAGCGGTGAGTCTTACTATTTTACATAAGATGACCAGCAAGGCCTGTATTTGTTTCTTATGGCTGCCATTATAAATAACCGTAGACTTAGCAGTTTGAAAGAAACACCAATTTATTACTTCGCATTGCTGGAAGTCTGAAGTTTGGCTAAAGCCAGGGGTGGGCAGTGGGCAGTGGGCAGGCTGCTTCCTCCTGGAATGTTGTGGGGAGGGTCCCCTTGCTTGCCTTTTTCAGCATCTAGAGGCCACCTGGTTCCTGGCTCTCAGGCCCTTCCTTCTTCTGCAAAGCCAGTGAGGCTGGGCAAGGCTTTCTCACACCACAGACACCCTCCTGCGTCTCTGTTCTCTGCTTTTTTTTTTTTTTTTAATTTTTTGAGATATGGGTCTTACTCTGTCCCCCAGGCTGGAGCATAGTGGTGCCATCTCTGCTCACTGCAACCTCCACCTCCCGGGTTCAAGTGATTCTCTGGCCTCAGCCTCCCAGGTAGCTGGGATTACAGGCGCTCACCACTACCACACCTTGCTAATTTTTGTATTTTTAGTAGACACGGGGTTTCACAATGTTGTCTGGGCTGGTCTTGAACTCCTGAACGCAGGTGATCTGCCCACCTCTGCCTCCCAAAGTGCTGGGATTGCAGGCATGAGCCACCACGCCTGACCTGTTCTCTGTACAAGGAACCCTGTGATGGCACCCTGTGATGACACTGCACCGGCCCAGACAGTGCAGGCTCGTCTTCCTATTTTAAGGTCAGCTGATCAGCACCCCGATCCCCTCTGCAGCCCGATGTTCTCTTTGCCCTGTGACCTCACACCTTTACCAGTTCTGGGGATTTAGAGTGTGGCCCTTGTCGACTTGCAGACGAGCTGTCAAAGAGGCAAAGGGAGAATTCTTGGCATCAAGCTAGAGAGTGTGGTGCAGACTTGACCCCTTTTCCAAAACTGTTGTGTGGCCTGACACTGGAGGTAGAGCCTTG